TTAACTAGATTGACTCTTTTCTTACCAATGAGGATTAATCATTCTGTGTTGAAGCTAGCTGAGATGTATATCGATGTAGTTGTGAAGTTGTATGAGATGTCGTCGAATATTGTGTCAGATGGGAATTTGAGTTTTCGTCGAGATTTTGGGGGGAGTTTGCAGACGCTTTGAGTACCCTGTTGAAGTTGAGCTCTGCCTATCATCCGTGGACAGATGGACGGACAGAGAGAACTATCCAGTCTTTAGAGTATTTGTGGAGAGCTTGTGTGTTGGATCAAAGTGGATCGTGGGATAGTTAATTATCATTGACTGAGTTACCTACAATAACAGTTAGCATTCTTGTATCGGAATGACACCGTAGGAAGATTTGTATGGTATGAGGTGTAGGACTCCTTTGTGTTGATATGATTCAGTTCAGAGTGTTGTGCTCGGACCTAATAATTGTGTAAGAGACGACTGAAAAGATCAAGAAGATCCAAGAAAAACGTGTTTTGAGAGTTACGATGGTGACTAGTGTTGGTCGAGCTTTGAAGTCTCGGAAGCATACATTGTGTTTTGTTGATTTGTATCGGAAGTGGCACAACGGAAGTGTGGGAGAAGTATCATGTTAGACTGTTTTACCGCTATCGTTTGTGAATTTACATGATGTGGCATGTGCCTAAGTTGAGGAAGTGCATTTATTCGGATGGATGGCGTACAAGTGAGAGATAATTTGACTGTTGAGGCATTGGTAGTTCAGGTTGATGAACGAGAAGCAACTTTGAGGTAAAGAGATTCCTTTGGTGAAGGTAGTTTGAGAGGAAAGTAGGAATTGGGAACTTGGAGATCAGTTAAGGGAGTCGTATCCGACTCTGTTCCTTGAGGTAATTTTCGAGGGCGCAAATTCTTTTAAGTGGGGGAGAGTTGTAAAACTCCGAATTTAATCGGAATATTTTAATTAATTTATTTAATTAAGAATATTCGTATTTTTGGTGTTTTCGGTGGTTTTGGGAATTATTGAGAAAATGTGCATTTTGGACTATTTATTTAATTAATAGTATGCAATATGAGAATATCAGTATTATTATTGATTAAAATTAATATAAGAGAAATAAGGGTAAATTGGGCATTATGAAGAGTTAGTAATGGTGTTATGGGAAAAGCCCAATTTGTGAGGCCCAAGACTAAGTTAGACAAAATTGAGTTCTGAAAGGAAATTAGATTTCATTTTGTGTTTAACGTGAAAGTTGGTGGCTAGAGCTCTGAAGGAAAGGCTGGAAGAAGAAGATCCCAAATATTAATCGTGAAAGTTGCGAATCGGCTAAGGTATGGGGAGTATCGCATTTCATGATTTAAAATAGGGAATTAAAATATTTTGGTTTGACTGTGGGAAAATAGGGAATTCGATGATAAGGCTTTGAGGTTAGGAGGAATGGTGTGAAACACTGAATATTGACAAGAATTTAGGAAACCTTATCGGACTGTTTGATGTGTAACATGAGAAAGGAAACCTTAGGCCTTCGTGCCCAAAACCTTGGATTGTGATATGTTTAACCCTGTAGGAATAGGAATATTCCAATGTGAAGTAACTCTGATGTACTCAGAGCAATTGCAGGAAAATAGTGTTTTAGGCAGTGCAAATGTTGCCAGATTGACCTAATAAACTATAGATGTTGTGACGTTATCGCCATATGACCTTAGAGATGCTTTGGGTATGTTTTAGGAGCATTGGGTATATGAATCATATGAGTATTTTGGGTAGAGAGCAGGTCTGATCATAGCAGGTTGTGTTGTTATCGCGTTGTTCGCCTAGCGAGCAAGCTAGCGAACATTCGCTACAGACTCGCCTAGCGAGCAAGCTAGCGAGCATTCGCTACAGGCTTTCCTAGCGAGCAAGCCAGCGAGCGTAACAGAGTTCGCAAATGTTGATCGTGTGCAGCGATGCCGTGATGTTTGATTCGGGGATTCCTGTGATGAGTTACTATGAGTATGACAGTGAGGTTGCGTCAGTAATAAGTTATAGTATTGAGAATTACCACGAGTGTAATAGTGATGAATTAATATGAGGAAATGTGAGATGATATTAGGGATTAATATATGAATACTATGTGATGATATGACGAATTAACATGAGTAGAACCGTGAAGTTTATGTGATTGATAGGCGATAGTGTGAGGATTCCCGTGAGTATAACTTGATAAATTAATATGAGATGATATGAGGGTAGTACTATGAATTAATATGGGGTAATATGGGATAATATGACAATGAGCTATTGTGTGAGTTATACGTGATTATATGATGACATGATGTGTGAGATTAATTAATATGATGGACTATGATGATATGTTGTATGATGAATAATACGATGAATTATGATGATATGTTGTATGATGATTAATGTGATGAAATATGATGATATGTTGTATAATGATGATTACTGTGATGAGATATGATAACATGATGTATGATGATGATTGTTACGATGAGCTATGGTGACATGATTTATGATGATGAATATGACGATGGGATATGACGTGTAATGATGATGAATATGATGAATGATGATGCACCATATGTTGTTATTATGAGGATTATTATGACGTGTGCATCATGCATGCATGTACATTCGGACTTCGGTTCAGGACCTCGATTACTTTGACTTCAATCCCACTGTGTGGACGTGAAGTATTTTGATGTGCTCTGATCCTATTGATGGGGATCTATGGAGGTTTTATGGCCCAGTATCCATCGCGCTGTGATGATTGGTACCACATGCATTGAGTCTATGTTGCATTTGCATTTATGAGCCTTTGTGTATAAATTATGACGTTGTGGCCTTTGAGGCATATTTGAAGGATATCAATGTGTTGAATATAACTATGAGTAATATGCCGTTTATGCATTAATTGGTATACATTGATTATTATGAATTGTCTTACTCACCCTGCCTATTTGAATGTTACCTTCACGTGGGTAACGTGCAGATGAGCAAGTTTAGCCGTGGACGCCGTCGAGGATTATTGTGAAGTTTTAGAGTCGTTAGCCTTTATGGTTAATGTAGAGGGTCTTGCTCTGATATGTAACATCGGGTTGGGTTCCTTGAGTTGATTTGTTTTACTATTGAAGTTATGTTGATTAAATTCCCTTTTTGAGGAAACTTTGAAGTATGTTTTGAATTCCGTTGTTTATGATGCTTTGATGTATTTTTGGGAAAAACCCGTAGTTACGGAGTATGGATCCTATTTTGATGAATTTGAGAATGTACACCCTTTTAGTGGCACTTTAATGAGATTTATTTATTCACTCTGATTTATATGTTATTTTGCCTTGATATTTTTGGGGTAGAAAAAGGGTGTTACAGAATTTGCTGTTCTCGCACTGTTCGCCTAGCGAATAATGCTTCTCCTAGCGAACCATGTTGTTCCCAGACTCGCCTAGTGAAGAATCCTTAGCCTAGCGATGAAACTCGCCCCAGACTCGCCTAGCGAACATGCCAGCAAACGTAGCAGAGTTTCGCGAATGTTGATTGGGTTCAGCAATACCTTGATGTTTGATTCTGTGATTTCTTTAATGAATTAACATGAGTATGACTATGAGTTTTATGTGATGTGTACATGATTACATGATGATTTCTATGATGTATTGATTGGAAAACTATGATGATATTACCATGACTTTGATGAATTATATGATGACATGAGATATGATGATGATTGTGATGATGATGAATATGATGAATGATGATGCACCATGTTGTTCTTATGAGGATGATTATTGACGTGTGCATCATGCATTCATGTGCATCCAGACTTCGGTTCAGGACCTCGATTACTTTGGCTTCAATCCCATTGTGTGGATGTGAAGTATTTTGATGTGCTCCGATTCTCAAGTAGTATCGATGCTATTGATGGGGATCTATGGAGGGTTGATGGCCCAGTGTCCATCGTGCTATGATGATTGGTACCACATGTATTGAGTCTTGTATCATTTGCATTTATGAGTCATTTGGAATAATTTATGATGTTGTGGCCTTTGAGGCCTATTGAAGGATATCAATGTGTTGAATATGAATATGACGTCGTTTTATATGTTGATTTTTATACATTAATTATTATGAACCGTTTTACTCACCCTGCCTGTTTGAATGTTTCCTCCACGTGGGTAACATGCAGATGACCAGGTTTAGCCGTGGACGCCGTTCAGGATATTTTTGAAGTCTTTGAGTTGTTAGCCTTTTGGTTAACTTAGAGGGTCTTGCTCTGATATGTAACATCGGGTTGGGGTCTTTTGAGTTAAACTATGTTTTATTTGAGTTTATTTTGATTATCTTCCTGTATGAGGAAAACCTTGATTTATGCCTTTTGAGTTCCGCTGCTTTGTGCAATTTGATGTATTTTGGGAAAACCTGTTGCTTATGGAGCCTTGACCTATTATGTTGATTTAGGAAATGTACGCCCTTTTGGGTGGCTTTTTTGTTGAAATTGAATAATTACTCTGATATCTTTGTTATTTTTCCATAATATTTGTGGGGTAGAAAAGGGTGTTACATTTAACACCTCTTATTTTCATAGCATTGATGAATAAGCAACTACCAATCACATTTGTGTGTATTTCCCAGCATGGTTCTAGAAGAAATTGTCATGCATTATTGCACTAACTCAAGAAATACTCCATTTGAGAAACTGACTGAAGTCCCTGTTCAAAACGTAAATAAATGACACATGTACTTTGCACACGAGTATAAATTTCTTACTAAGATATGGAATGAAGGAAGAAAAAAAACCATAAACAGTGGTGTGTTTGTAAAAGGAGTTACAGATGGTGGTGAAGATGACTTCTATGGTATTGTTACACATATCTACGAGTTGGTACACAATTACTTGGACTCAAAAAATAAAATTGTCTTATTTTATTTTAACTAGAACAATCCATCTAATAGAGGCACAAAAATAGATAAGAAATATAATATTGTTGAGATTCGCATGGACTGAAGGTACAAAGAGTATAACCCTTTCATAATGCCACATATTGTTAGGCAATTTTATTATGTTCCGCGTCCTTCAATTGTGCCACGTAAACGAGGGTGGTGTGTTGTAATCAAAACAAAATCATTGGGTCATATTAAAATTGACGATCTAGTGGAAGACATTCCTTACCAAGTTGATGAAATTTCTCAAATTAATGATGTGATTAAAATTGAAAGAATTACAAGTTTGTGTGATACAGTGGTTGAGGGTCATCAATTTGATGCATCTATATTGTTGGAAGAAAATAACATGGATGAAGATCATGAAGAGTTTGGATCTGAGGATAATATTGGATCAGATGATGAGAATGATATGGATGACGGGCATAAAGAGTTTGAATCTATCATTTTAGTAATTTTACTTAATGATTCAGTATAGAGAATATGTTGATGCATTTATGTTGTTGGTAGAAAATAATGTGTGTTTTAAATTTGTTTTATTGACTTATTAATTATGTTGATGAATTAGTTGTATATGTTCTGTTAACTTATTATATGTGTATTCTCTCAAAATAGATAAAATGTCACCCCTAAATAAGAAGGGTAAGAGTAAGAAGACCCAACATCATCACCTGAGGGAAACGGTATGTGAGGAACCGCAGTTGGCCGTGTGTCCTCCCCCATAGAGTCAGGTAGACCTCATGTTTATGGCTAGTTCTCGACCTCTTATAGAATTACTCTTCTCTCATGACTATCCTATATTCCCTATAGGAATCCATCTTTCGTTAGCCCATATAGGAGATCTATCTTTCCATTCCAGCAGACTGGTTGATTTATCTTTCCATACCATCAGACTGAAGGATCTAGCTTTCTAGATCTTGCACTGGTACCCTTCATGCATCAATAACATTATCATCCTCATACATACCCTCACCATCCATGTATCATGGGGCATCTAGCTTCCCACATCCCTCACACATACCCTCACCATCCATGTATCCTGTGGGATCCCGCATCCCACATCCATCACACATAAGCTCATCATTCATGCACTGTGGGGGACCCCGCACCTCACCTACCACACACATACCCTCACCATCCATTCATCCTAGGGGACCCTACACCTCACCTACCCACACATACCTCCATCATCCACGCATCTTAGGGTACCTCACATCTCACCTACCACACACATACCCTTACCATCCATGCATCTTAGGAGATCTCGCACCTCACCTACCATACATAAACCTGCGTGTGGGAAGGATCATGAGGGGGAGGATAAAGACGATTATAAGGGGCTAGATGAGGATAATCATGAGGGGCAGGATCGCACTGCACATTCGAGTGAGTATGAGATGATTGCTGGAAGATACTATATTTGGCCCAGTGAAAAATTGTAAGTTTCTAATTTATAAATTTTTAATTTAAGTAACGTTGTTGTCATTTTTTAGATTTAATAATACTTATTCAAATTGTTGTTATTTAGTTTCGAGTTGAGTCATATTGTTTCCAAATATATAAGTTATGTTATTCAACAAATGTATAAAAAATCTTGGAAGAGATTTCAAGAACTTTCCAAGAGTGAAAAAGATGCTTGATTTAGCAAATTTAAGGTAGAATAACTTATTTTAAGTTATTGTTATTTTAATTACTTTTTGTTATTATAATTATCTAACAATTTATTTGAATGTTATACAGCATTGCAGGAAAAGTGTATCTAAGAAGTAATTAACGAGGCTAGGATTAAAAAATTGGTAGGGCAGAACAATAATTTGGCTTTCTAACATGCTACGGCGTGCTAGATATGGCTGGGAAGAACAAAATGTTCCTCCTAAGTGGATAGGCAAGGAAATTTTTGTTAAGCTTCTTGTCTATTAGGATTCACCTGGTTTTAAGGCAAGATCTAAAAATGCAAAGAAAATGAGAGTATCTGAAAAGGGGGGTGACCTCAATGCAGTTGGAAGCATTATCGAACACGCTTGACGCATGATAATTATAACTACTTTTCTAAGTTGTAGTTTTACTTACTAAATATTTCTAATTAAAGTTAATTTTATTAATAGTCTAAGAATTTAGGGAGACCCTCACAAATGAATGAGCTGGTTGCAAAGACTCGTACCAAAAAATTGGGGAGATTTATTGACGAACGTGTCAGATTAGCTTTGGTAAGTTGTTTATATATTTTATTTTATTTAAATTAATTCCTGTATATGAATAAACTATTTCAATTATATTAATATTTAATGGCAAAGTCGTGGTGTGATTTTCATGTGGAAACTAATTTAAGGTTGTTTATGGTGTGAAAATCATGTGGCTATATTTCATTATTTTATTTAATTTAATTCTTGTATATAACTAAATTATTTAAACTATATTTAATTTACACTTTTTTTCTTATATGTGTAAGAGGACTATCAGACATTGCTCGTTGAATTTTTAATTCAAAATTCTCAGTATACTTTGATAGGTTCAACTCCGATTAATAACCATGTGGATCTTTATCTTTAGAGTTTAATAAATGGTGGGAGAGGACCTAACAAGTGTTTTTTTGCATGATCTTTGGTTGGGAACTACAGACAAGGCGATAGAACATTATTTAAAAGAGTTACGAATGGGGATGAAACGTCACGTCCACCATAATTGACACCCTAAATGATGGAAAAGTGTGGCAATTAGGGCTAACTGAGGCGAGATGCAAAGCGGTAGAATGTGAGGCGGCGATAATTGACCAAATAGAGGTAATGAAGAAGAGACAAATTGAGATTGATGAGATAATGCGACAATTGCTTTCGTAATAAGGGAACTAAATAAACAATTCAATAGGTGATGATCTGGATGATGATGATGATGATGATGATGATGTGGGTGAAGCTATGGATGATGATGCAGATGAAGCTATGGATGATGATGAGGATGATAAAGTTGATTGATTTTTTATTGTTATTTTAATTTTAAATATGATTTTTTGTATAATATTCCTAATTATTTTGAATTTAATTATTTTTAATTGAAATTCATATTTCTAATTAATATTTAAAAATATTAGTATTTTTAATTATCAATTGAAATTAATATTTTTAATTGTAAAAAATTTAATATTTTCTACTTAATTTAACTTTAATCAAAATATTTATATTTCTAATTAATAATTGAAATTAATTATTTTATTTTTTAATAAAAAATTAATCTATGTCATGGCCAACACGACGCTAATTAATGACAATATTTTCAAATTAGTGTCGTGGAAAACAAGACACAAAATGTAACACCATATTTTTTATTAAATTATTTTAGTTAAGTTATTTGTGAGTTCTTTGTGATTTATATGTGTGTGAATAGATAAATAAGAGGGTAGAGGTGTATGTCCTATAGATAAAGGTGTAGAGAATAAGTTGTGACTTGCTGGAGCCGATAGAAACTATTTAGAAATTATTTAGAATCTTAATAATTAGAATAAAGAGTCTTTTAATTAAATTCTTTAAATAAATAAGTGTGATGGGTGTGTGTGACCGTGAGGGGAGAGTGTATAGAGGAATTAAAAGTTGGTAGATTTTATTTAGAATTATTTTACTAATTAAAATAATACTCTTGTTTTATTATTTAAATAAAATAATGAGATAAAGGGAAAATAGGAGTTTGTAGAGATATTGAGGATAAGATGGGAATTAAGGAAAAAATTGAGGATAAGGTAGGAATATCCTAATGAGGGAATTAGTTTTTTATTTTAAAAATATAGTTAAAAGGAAAGAGTTTTATCAGTACATAGAAAAAGAGGCAAAAAGAGAGAAAGAGATAGGGCAAAGAGAAGAACAAGATGAGAGCTAGAGTTTTGGGAGAGGAGACCATAGAGATTGTTATTTTTACTGGAATAACAAGGTAAGGAGGGAGAATAACCTTAATAAAGGGTATATGCATGAGGAATAGGACAGAGAGTCTTTAACCTTCAATCGGGTTTGTTTATCCATTGATTCTTGATGAATATATGATGATGAATATGTTGTTATATGCATTGATTTGAATTGCAATGGTACGTTGTTGTTATAAGGTTGTGCCCTTAAGTTTTGATGCAAAATCAGTTGTTTCTAGGTATGAAACTAAGCGATTAATTCATGAGAAAATTGATATGTTCATGTCCATTAGAGAAGGATAGATGTATTGGTGTTGTTAAAATGTAAATTGGTGTAATTTAGAATGTTATAGTTGAGATTGGTTTAGAGGATTAAAGGTTGGATATGGAGAGGATGATCGTAATAGAGAAAAAAGAGATTAGTAGAAAATTTTCACAGACCAATCCTCATAGCAAGTAATAGTGTCGAGGATGTTATAAAGATGAAGGTTGAACTTAATAAGGAGTTTGACATGAAGAATCTGGGAGATGCCTCCAAGATTCTTGGGATTGACATCCAGAAAGATGGAAAGCATTCGGGATTATGCTTATCTCAAGAAACATACCTACTGAAGATTCTCAACATGGTTGGTATATTGAACTCAAAGCATGTTGTAACACTGGCTAATCCTTAGTTCAAGTTGAGCATGAATCAAAGTCCTAGTACTAAAGCTGAAAGAATCTATATGAATATGCTAGTACAATAGGTTCTTTAATGTATGTTATGGTGTGTACGAAGTCAGATATACCATATGAAGTAAGCCTTGTATGCAAGTATATGGCTAATCCTAGAAAGACGCACTAGCAAGCATTTAAGTGGATTCTAAGGTACATAAATGGGTCTCTGAGTAGAGTCATGTTTTATGGTGGAGTATATGGTGATGATAGCAAAGCAGAAATTGAAGGATTTGTCAACTCTAACTATACAAGTTGTATGGATTCCAGAAAATTTATTTCTGGATATGCATTCACTATGTTTGGCAAAACAATCAGTTGGAAAGAAACACTTCAGAAGGTTGTTTCCTTATCAACCACTGAGGCAGAGTATATTTCCCTCACTAAAATTATGAAAGAAGCATTTTTGCTTGAAGGTTTTACTAAGGAGCTGAAACTTTAAGGTCAAGTCATCACTGTTAAATGTAATAGTCAAAGTACAATACACTTGTCGAAGAATTCAACCTATCATGAGATAACAAAGCACATTAATGTTAGGTTGCATTTCCTCAGAGAGATAATCGAGCGTGGAGACGTCCAAGTGCTGAAGGTTTCAATTGATGACAGTGTTAATGATATGATCACCAAGAAATTACTGAGTGGCAAGTCATTCCATTGTATGTAGTTGATAAAGTTGTATGATGAAAGATAGTTTATACCCTTGTTAGTGTAGAGTTTATTTCAAGGTGGAAATTTGTGGTATTTGGATCGAACTTTAGCTTCGATAAGGTTAGCTTCATGGTTCGATAGTAGTCAAAGATGTGCATATCGTAGTCGAAGTCTGTTCTTGCATGTAGAATTATGTTAGCTTGTTGTTTAAGTTAGCATATTGAATT